CTAAATGTGCAGAAAACTGAAAATTTATGCTGAATAAATATTATAAATTGATAATACATATATTACTAAAATGTATAATATATTGGTGTAACGGATCACAAACCTCACGGTTTGGATTATAATGTTTTTTTAGTCATCATGGATTGGACCATTTTTCGGATCAGCCAAACAGACATGTTATTTGCTTTCCATTTATTACACAAACTACTAAAATAAACTTTTGGTTTTAACAAACAGAACTTTAAAATTAAGAAATAATCACCTGAATAAAAATAAAATATTCTGTACTGTGAAAAATTCACTTTTACTACTACTGATGCTGATTATGCAAAATGTATACAATTATCATTTGTACAATTCATATTCATTTTTAGTCTCTTTTTCAATAAATGATTCAGTTATTCACCCATAAAACTTCATGTTTTATTGCTATATGCACCTTTTTTGAAGTTATTCAGTGGCATATTTTTGACGGCTGGTTAAACAATGTAATTGCTGCCAACAACTTTCATTTTTGAACCAATAACGGTGGTTTTCATCTTCACTTTAACATCAGTGGTTTTATCTAAACTTTAAGCTGTTATCCCTATACTTATGTGTTATTTAAGTGTTTGTTACTGCTTAACTAACTCAAAAGACTAAAGATCCCTGCAAAACAAAAAAAACAAAAAAAAAACAGCATAAGCTGTTAAGTTGTTTTGTTGCTAGTCCTGCTGGTTTCAATGCTGGTCTTGAATCGAGACCAGCAAAACCAGCATTGAATCCAGCAAGACCAGCGCTGAAACCAAAAAGACCAGCATCAAAACATACCTTATAAGCATATGCTGTTTTTTTTAGCGACTGAATCTTATTAATTTTTGCGTTTTTCAGACACAGATTCGAATGTGGCGTTTCTAAGGATTAAAAAGCATATGTAAATTATTATCATTTATGTTGCGTGGGTGTTGAGATCCTGATCTTTTATTGATCAATCATTAAATCCAGGCTAAACAAGCATTGACATAAAACACCTTTAATAACCTAAGAAACCCACCCCATCCCAAATAACCCACCACAGCTTCTTCCATCGTCATTATATTTTACAGAATAGCCTAAATGCTTTCATACATGTGATTTGAATTACACAAGATGTGATCTCTCCTCGATCGATACAAATTTAGGATTAATCTACGAGTGAAAAAATTATTAATCCTTGTGTTCCGAACCGTGGGTTGTGTTTCATATGAATTATGTATCAACAGAGATCTTTACACCCCTAGTATAATATATAATATTTATTCAGGGTATTATTTTAAGTCTATGCAGATTAAGATAGTAATGTTCTGTATGTATTATGTATAATATATTGTTAATATATATATATATATATATATATATATATATATATATATATATATATATATATATATATATATATTAGTAGCCAAAATTATTAAAACATCAATTGATAAAATATTTACATTTTACCTCTAAAAAATAATTTCATTTCATAATGTTCATAAAAGATGCTAATTTTAAGTAAATATAAAGTAAGTCATGGTCATAGTGGTTGTATCCACCTATAACTGTAATGTTATGACTTATATTTCTATGTATGTTTTAAGCGAATGTAAACTGTTCATTAAGAAATTGAGTATAAAAATGGATCAGTGCAGTTGGTTTTAAAATTAACCAAATTTACATGTCATTATCAAACTTTATTAAACAACAAAAGAAATGTCACTGCTCTAAATATATATGTTATATATATGTTATTTATACACAAAAGACTGGCTTGTTTTGTTTTCTAGTAAATTTGCTTACTACGTTCATTTTATTTATTTATTTATTTTTTCAAGCTTAGAGTGCTTACAGATTTTCTTTTATGTATATTTCAGATATGACTGTTTAACTTTGTTGGCTAGTTTTAGATTTTGGAATGAAAGCAAAACCCAATTATGGAATATCAAAGTACCAAAATTGTGTAAATCATAACTATATTGTGTATTTATTGTTTTCTTTATAGATTATGATATGGTGATTTAACATTTTAGTTATAATGGCTAAATGTATCCCCTAGTTGCCATTACTTTAAAGGTAAGCTTATTGGGATTGACAAAATTTTGCAGTTAGGCCTATTCCTTTTTCACTCCAAATGTGTGAAGAAGGCATATTAAATTGGAGCTTAATATTGCTTAATACTGTTTTTATAAGATCTTAATACTTTAATTTGTTTTCAGAGGATGAATTGTTTTACATAAAAAACAATGCCCACAAAGAACAAAAATGTAAAGTTGTCTGCAGTGCGGAGGAGGCAGATGCACTGTTTAAGCAATTTCACTGCAGTGACATGGGTGCACATGTTGGACAACTCAAGACGAGAGATGCCATTTCTCAGCGCTTTTATTGGCCTGGCATGTCTGCAGACATTGAAAAATGGGTATGCTTATTAACACTTAAACTAATATGTTTATATGACAACGTATAATATGCAAACAACTCATATATTTTCTGTTACCAGGTGTCGGAATGTTCAGTCTGCCAAAGAAATAAAAAAACCCTAAAGCTTGACACAGACTACACACCTATTAAGGTACAACGTCTAAATGTATATTTTAAAAAATTAAATGAATGAATGGATATATTAAAAGTAGGTAATTTCAAAGAAAATATGTTATTCTGAAATTTGTATTTTTGTACAGCCTATTTAAATTGATTAATGATTGTTATGTTTTTTTTTTCTCAGTTTTGTTGATAAATGTGAAAATAATTCTGTTCTTGTCTGATGACAGACCAAGTGTCCATTTGAACTCGTTGGAATGGACCTTATTGGAAAGGTGGTGAAGTCTGACCAGAACAATCAGTACATTTGTGTAATAGTTGATTATTGTACCAAATGGGCCCAGGCTTATCCTCTGACATCAAAGTCAGCTGCAGAGGTTACAAATTGTATTCTCAAATTTGTATACCAGTTCGAAGTGCCAAAACGGATACTAACTGATCAGGGGAGAGAATTTACCAATACTGTGAGTATTTTTGTCAGCTCAGTTATGAACTGCATGATGCTCTGCTTTAAAAGTTTTAAGTTATAACTCTTAAAATATAAAATATTATTGTCATATCATTATGTAGATCAATACTAAGGTCTGTGGAGTTCTTGGAATTAAAAGAAGTCTCTGTGCCCCATACCACCCTCAGACCAACGGGTTGGTGGAGAGGCTCAATGGCACCATACAAAGGTGAATAATGCATCCACTTTAGTACACATTTACACTAATAAACCACAGCTAAAAACTCACTGACAGGTACAATGAACATTGTTGGCTATAAAGTACACTGTAAAAAAGTTCTCAACTTAAAATTGTAAGGCACCAAACTGCAGGACATTTTTGAGTTTACTCAACTTAAATTAAGTCAAGTGCATTAAGTGGGTTCAAGTCAAGTCAACTCAAAAATGTTCTGAAGTTTGTTGCCTTAAGATTTTAGGTTGAGTCACCTTTTTTTACAGTGTAGTTTCAGGGTAAATATACAGTGATTAAATTACTTATTGTCTGGAAAAAAGTAGTTACTGTTCAGTTTAGGTATACTTTAATAATTGTTGCTTCTCTTAAATCTTTTAAAGTCTTTAAATGACACCTTTTAAGCTAAACACTATCATCTTGCAAATAGCTAGTAAAATATTATGTACTGTTATCATAGCAAAGACAAAAAAGAATTACTCATCATTAGTTAATACAACTATTGTGTTTAAAACTATGTTAAGTGGAACTTATTTATAAACATTTGACAGAATTTTGCATTTCTTTAAAAAGAGTTACAATGTCACAGGACGGCTAATACCTTTGACTTCAACTGTATATTTGTACAGCCTTCTCTTTATTTTATCACATGTTTTTTAGGGTCCTATCTAAACTGGTAAAGGACAAACCAAATACTTGGGACCAGTATTTGGATGCTGCCATGTTCGGACTTCGAACAAAGAAGCAGCTGACCACCCAATTCTCCCCATTTTACTTGATGTTTGGAAGAGAGGCACGCTATCCATGCGAAGTCCCTGAACATTTTGAGGTATTTTGTTGTAAATATTCTGGATTCGTTTTATGTCATTGCTATGTTAAGCTAAGTTATTTATTACCATTTTCCACAGCTTGATGGTTCATTTGAAAATGACTTCACCGAAGACATTGCCATTGACATCAAACGACATGAAAAAATCATGAACATTGTTGAAGACAATGTAAATAAATCTATCTCAAGGACAAGAAAAAGGCTGTCAAAGAAGGCACAATTTAGCCTTCAGGTGGGAGCAAAAGTGTGGAGAAGAAATGTCCGGAGTGAGCAGAGGAAAGGGGGGAAACTAGACCCTGAGTATTTTGGTCCCTTTGTGGTGACCAAAATACAAGGGAAGAGTGTTGATCTTGTGGATTCGGAGGGTCGATCCACAAAAAAGATTAACATAGACCAATTGAAGCACCACCACGAGGAGACACCAAGAGTACCTCGAAATCTGAGGAGTCAACATCAGCAACCCTCTGAGCCAACGAGTGCAACCTCCTCTTCTTCTCCTCCTCCAGCTGCTCTCTCTCCTATATCTTCTCCTCCTCCCCCAGCCGCTCTATCTCCTCCAGCTGTTCTCTCTCCTCTACCTTCTCCTTCTCCTCCCGCTGCTTTCTCTGCTCCAGTTTCTCTTTCAGCTGCTCTCTCTCCTCCATCTGCTCAGTCTTCTCCTCAAGCTGCTCTCTCTTCTCCAGATGCTCTCTCTACTCCAGCTTCTCCTCCAGCTGCTCTCTCTCCTCCATCTGCTCAGTCTTCTCCTCTAGCTGCTCTCTCTTCTCCAGCTGCTCTCTCTACTCCAGCTTCTCCTCCAGCTGCTCTCTCTCCTCCATCTGCTCAGTCTTCTCCTCTAGCTGCTCTCTCTTCTCCAGCTGCTCTCTCTACTCCAGCTTCTCCTCCAGCTGCTCTCTCTCCTCCATCTGCTCAGTCTTCTCCTCTAGCTGCTCTCTCTTCTCCAGCTGCTCTCTCTACTCCAGCTTCTCCTCCAGCTGCTCTTTCTCCTCCAGCTGTTCCCTCTCCTCCAGCTTCTCTTCCAGTTGTTCTCTCTGCTCCAGCTTCTCATTCTTGTCCTCCCGCTGCTGTCGCTCCTCCACCTGCTCAATATTCTCCTCCAGCTGCTCTCTGTTCTCCAGCTGCTCTTTCTGGTCCATCTTTTCCATCTTCTCCTCCAGTAGCTTCCTCTCCTCTGGCTGCTCTCTCTCCTCCATCTTCTTCTCCTTTTGCCACTTTCTCACCTCTTCTTTCAGCTGCTCATAAATCTACTTGCCTTCCATCATCTTCTGATGCATCCACTTTTAAAGAAAAATGTATGTAACTTTTAATTTCTTTTTAAACAAAATAATCTGTTTCTATTCTAATATAGTTATAAATATGTAAATATATGTACATTTGTATACTATGGTGAAACTATTTCAATTACTTTTTCTAACACAAAGGCATAGAAGAGGCCTGGAAAGGCCAAAAGGCCCACGTCCTGCTGTCCCGAATGGGGACCTACAAGCTGTTTTATTGGGACATTGCAAAAACAGCTCCCAGTGAACAGCTTGAAAGTGAGGTGAGCTGAATAAACAAAATATTTGTCTAATTGTATTGAATATATTTTTTATGCAAGTTAAATCTGCAATCCTTAACTGGTTTACCTTCATATACTAACTTGTTTTCTGGCAAACAGGTCATGAATGCATACCTTGCTCACAAAGTAAAAGTGAACAATGAAACAAGGGCCAAAAAGGCGTTTCATATTGATTTATTTGAGATGACAAGGATATGGGAAGGAAAAAATTCAAGACTGAAGGTAGGCACAGGGTTTGGGGTGGGTGGAGGTTGCTTTTTTAGGTGGATTGTCACTAAATAGGTTTTATTCACTATTTTTGTAAATAAATGTTATCTGTATTAGTGTGACCCAACAAAGTATGGGGTAATTTTGGGAGCTGTTCATGAACCTGGTCACTGGATTTTGGTGGTAAGTACAAATTACTCACAATAGCTGTGAAACATGATGATGATAATATAATCTAAAATAATATATAAAAAATACATCGTAATACAACAATCTACAGGCCATCTTTCCGGACCAGAAAAAAAGCCTTGTGCTTGATCCCCTGGGAACTGAAGCCAGCAAGATTAAACAGTGCTTGGAGTCCACAAGGTGACTGTTGTTTATAAAAAAAATCTATTTTAATACAAACTGAAATATGCAAAAATATGCCATAATTTTACATTTGCCTGCCTTTTTAGGGCATTTATGAGAAAAAGAGGAGTAATTTCTTCCAGGTGGACAGCCGACACAGCTCCACACAGTCGCCAAAAAGACAGTAGTTCATGTGGAGTATTTGTGCTTAAAGTAAGTTTGTTTTTGTCTCTCATTGGCTATACTGCTGTCTGCTGTTTAGTATTTGTTAAAGCAAAATATTTTACATGTGTCAATTATGTAAAAATACTCATTTGGCTAACACATTATTTGTGTATTTATGTACAACAGCATATACTGACAAATCCGTTATAATTCTGTGTCATATTAGTATGCAGAAAAAATCCTGGCTGGGGAGTCTTTGATGTTCGCCAACAAGGCCTCAGCGGTGAAGATTTATAGAAAAGAAATTGCCAGGACACTGCTGAATGGGAGTGGTAAAGTTGTTGAATTATATACTTTTGTTTAAAAATTTGTCTTATAGAATGGTCTGTCTAAAAACACAATTTGGATTGACATAGGAAGGTGTCTGTTTAGAATGTCTGTTGTCAAAATAAAAAATGCATATAATAAAGCAAACAGAAGCACAAAAAAGATATCATAAAAATCTTGAAAAAAAAAAAGAAAATCATTCACAAGACTAATAACTAAACAGAAATAGGTCTATAAATAGACATAAGGTAATTAATAAGACAGGTGAATGACATACTCTTACGAAAAATAAGTTGTGTACTATTCAAGTGAACACAGCTGAAATAACAAAGTATAGAAAAACAAAGCAAAAACAATTCATAAGCATTTTAAATGTTTTTATTAGAGGTCTCTATTGCAGAAATAAAAGCATGAAATTAAATTTTCTTCTAAATTAGATTTTTTTTTTTCAAATTCCTGTAGAATCAGTATTTATTATATTACAGCAAACAAATTGTTATTTTCATTCACTTCAAAGTTAAATTAACAAGCATGGGAGGTTGAGAAAAGGGCTTATTTTAGAAAATAAATATAAATGAAATGTCCATACTGTAGGTGTCAGATCATAATACACATTTTATACACACACACACACACACACATATATACACACACACACACACACACACACACACACACACACACACACACACACACACACACACACACACAGTATCATAAGTCCCCTTAAGCTAGATTTTTGAGCTACTAATACTAAAAGCCCTGTTCACACCTGGTATAAAGATTAATGTATGTATACTCCACAAACATCAGCTTTTACTGTACATACAGTTGAAGTCAGAATTATTAGCCACCCTTTGAATTCTTTTTTCTCTTTTAAATATTTTACAAATAATGTTGAACAGAGCAAATACATTTTCACAGATATTATTATGTCTGATAATATTTTTTTCTTCTGGAGTACGTCTCATTTGTTTTATTTCAGCCAGATTAAAAGCTTTTAATTTTTTTAAAAACCATTTTAAGGTCATTATTATTAGCCCCTTTAGGCTAGATTTTTTTTTCTACAGAATAAACCATCATTGTACAATAACTTGCCTAATTACCCTAACCTGTCTAGTTAAAGATAAAATAAATCAGTTATTAGAGATGAGTTATTAACACTATTCTGTTTAGAAATGTGCTGACAAAATCTGCTCTCCATTAAACAGAAATTGGAGAAAAGAAAAACAGAGGGCTAATAACTCAGATCTCAACAGTAGATAGTGCAGGCGAATGACCATGATATAAGCAGATAAATCTAATGTTAGCTGTGCATTACACAATTTGAATGCCTTCTCTGAGGTAACCACATTGTGCATTCAAACTGTTTAATAGTCAGCTTTGGAAAAAACCTTGAATAGCATGCATTGTTAATATCATTAAACATTTATTTATGTTTCTATGTGTATTTTTATGTTTTATATATACCAGATGACCTTACGGACTTGTGCCATTATTGTGGTGAGAGGAGTATAGATGAGGAAGGAGAAACAACTCTTTGGGTAAGAAAAAAAATGAAAGAAAATAAAATTTTCAAAATTTTAAAAAATTTTAAAAAGTCCAAAGTGGCCAAGTGACAACTGTATATATGACCTTGTTATTTTTAGAGATATAGTTAGAAGGATATATGCATGCATATTCACCCTGAAATTGTTTGTGGATTATTCTTTTTGTTGATACAGATCCAGTGTGATAGTTGTGCCCGGTGGTACCATGTGCGGTGTGCTGGAGAGCCAGACTGCCAAAAAAAATTTCAATGTGCAGCATGCACATTGTAGATTTTCTGTCAACAAATTAAAATGATAATTGTAAATAGTTATATTTAAAATGTTTTGTAAATAATTGTTTTGTTTGTTTTCTGTGTTATATTGTTATTTTTCAAAAAGTAAAAGCTTCATTGTTTTATTTAAATGATTAAGCCTGAAATTTGTGTTTTTGTGAGAATAGCAATGTTCAATGTGGAATATCAGAATTGGGTGACTAAACAAATAAATTTAGATTAGATTAAAATTTAATTAAACACCACCAGAGTGTCACATTCTGGAAAGTTTCTCCCCACTCCCAATCACATAATTCACTCTGTTCACTGTCACCCCAATCAGCAAGTTACCCATCACTCAAATATTGATCACTTATGCACCTACACATCATTCTCCACTAATCTCTCCAGACCATAAATTCCTGCACGGTACCTCACTCAGTGTAATGTCTTATTGCATCAAGAAGGACAAACTTTCGCGGTCAGTAATATCAGTTGTGATGTTTTATACTTACCTTGTCTGCTCCAGTGTACCTATAGTGTCTTCGTCTCTCTTTCCAGTGTGGTTCCCTCCTGGTTGTGTGTGTCTCCTGATCTCATTGTTGTTCATCATCTTCATCAGTGTCCAGTTAATTCCATCCAGGTCCAATGCTTACCCTCTACACGGAAAAAAGACTTTACCTGTTTGCCATATAACCTGTTAATCCACTTTCCGCAATAAACTGTAAAGTTTACTCACCCAGCTCAGGTCTCAGTCCCCCTTCTGTGACAGAGAATTTTGATTTTTTTTATTATTATTACTCGAGGTAAAATTTAAGGAGTGCTGGAATTCTTCACTATAAAATAGCCTTATCATATTTGGTGACCCTGCTGTATTTCTGTTACTGTATATGTCATGTCAAAAACAGCTGTTACAGTGCATAGCTGAGGAGATTAAACACCACCAGAGACAATTTAGAGAGAAAAAATTTTTTTTGGGTAAAATATAAGGAGTATCAGAATAAATTGATCATAGAAATAGCCCTATCATATTTGGTGACCCTGCTGTACTTCTGTTACTGTATATGTCATGTTAAAAACAGCTGTTACAGTGCATAGCTGAAGAGATTAAACACCACCAGAGACAATTTGGAGAGAAAAAAAAAAGATTTATGGTAAAATATAAGGAGTATCATAATTAATTGACCATAGAAATAGCCCTATCATATTTGGTGACCCTGCTGTATTTCTGTTACGGTATATGTCATGTTAAAAACAGCTGTTACAGTGCATAGCTGAAGAGATTAAACACCATTAGACTCAATTTGGAGAGAAAATAATAGATTTTGGGTAAAATATAAGGAGTATCATAATTAATTGACCATAGAAATAGCCTTATCATATTTGGTGACCCTGCTGTATTTCTGTTACTGTATATGTCATGTTAAAAACAGCTGTTACAGTGCATAGCTGAGGAGATTAAACACCACCAGAGACAATTTGGAGAGAAAAAAAAAGATTTATGGTAAAATATAAGGAGTATCATAATTAATTGATCATAGAAATAGCCCTATCATATTTGGTGACCCTGCTGTATTTCTGTTACTGTATATGTCATGTCAAAAACAGCTGTTACAGTGCATAGCTGAGGAGATTAAACACTGTTAGACTCAATTTGAAGAGAAAAAAAAAGATTTTGGGTAAAATATAAGGAGTATCATATTTAATTGACCATAGAAATAGCCCTATTATATTCGGTGACCCTGCTGTATTTCTGTTACTGTATATGTCATGTCAAAAACAGCTGTTACAGTGCATAGCTGAAGAGATTAAACACCATTAGACTCAATTTGGAGAGAAAAAAATAGATTTTGGGTAAAATATAAGGAGTATCATAATTAATTGACCATAGAAATAGCCCTATCATATTTGGTGACCCTGCTGTATTTCTGTTACTGTATATGTCATGTTAAAAACAGCTGTTACAGTGCATAGCTGAGGAGATTAAACACCACCAGAGACAATTTGGAGAGAAAAAAAAGATTTATGGTAAAATATAAGGAGTATCATAATTAATTGACCATAGAAATAGCCCTATTATATTCGGTGACCCTGCTGTATTTCTGTTACTGTATATGTCATGTTAAAAACAGCTGTTACAGTGCATAGCTGAAGAGATTAAACACCGTTAGACTCAATTTGGAGAGAAAAAAATAGATTTTGGGTAAAATATAAGGAGTATCATAATTAATTGACCATAGAAATAGCCCTATCATATTTGGTGACCCTGCTGTATTTCTGTTACTGTATATTTCATGTCAAAAACAGCTGTTACAGTTCATAGCTGAAGAGATTAAACACCATTAGACTCAATTTGGAGAGAAAAAAATAGATTTTGGGTAAAATATAAGGAGTATCATAATTAATTGACCATAGAAATAGCCCTATCATATTTGGTGACCCTGCTGTATTTCTGTTACTGTATATGTCATGTTAAAAACAGCTGTTACAGTGCATAGCTGAAGAGATTAAACACCGTTAGACTCAATTTGGAGAGAAAAAAATAGATTTTGGGTAAAATAAAAGGAGTATCATAATTAATTGACCATAGAAATAGCCCTATCATATTTGGTGACCCTGCTGTATTTCTGTTACTGTATATGTCATGTTAAAAACAGCTGTTACAGTGCATAGCTGAAGAGATTAAACACCATTAGACTCAATTTGAAGAGAAAAAAAAGATTTTGGGTAAAATATAAGGAGTATTATATTTTATTGACCATAGAAATAGCCCTATTATATTCGGTGACCCTGCTGTATTTCTGTTACTGTATATGTCATGTCAAAAACAGCTGTTACAGTGCATAGCTGAAGAGATTAAACACCATTAGACTCAATTTGGAGAGAAAAAAATAGATTTTGGGTAAAATATAAGGAGTATCATAATTAATTGACCATAGAAATAGCCCTATCATATTTGGTGACCCTGCTGTATTTCTGTTACTGTATATGTCATGTTAAAAACAGCTGTTACAGTGCATAGCTGAGGAGATTAAACACCACCAGAGACAATTTGGAGAGAAAAAAAAGATTTATGGTAAAATATAAGGAGTATCATAATTAATTGACCATAGAAATAGCCCTATCATATTTGGTGACCCTGCTGTATTTCTGTTACTGTATATGTCATGTCAAAAACAGCTGTTACAGTGCATAGCTGAAGAGATTAAACACTGTTAGACTCAATTTGGAGAGAAAAAAATAGATTTTGGGTAAAATATAAGGAGTATCATATTTAATTGACCATAGAAATAGCCCTATCATATTCGGTGACCCTGCTGTATTTCTGTTACTGTATATGTCATGTCAAAAACAGCTGTTACAGTGCATAGCTGAAGAGATTAAACACCATTAGACTCAATTTTGAGAGAAAAAAAAAGATTTTGGGTATAATACATGCATGGTTATACAGTGAGAAATTATGGTTTTGATAACGTGCGTGGTTCTCACACGTACTGTAACTTAGCCTACCTTTGACGCACATGTAAACAACACTTGTATTCTGGGCGAGCAAGTTAGCATTTATGATCTGAATACGAATAAACAGCTATTCTAAACAAAAGTTTTCGATACACTTTGCCATCGTTGGTTTAATAGGCATTTACGCAGTTTGCGTAGCTTACGTAGCCACGCCCCCTGGGTCACAGATTTCGACGGTCACAGAATATGGTGTAACACCGGCATGGATCGACGTTATGGATATTCCAGCCATCAGGAGTCCGTGTCGGATCCAGCTATCCTACAGGTACGCACTTTGGGTGGCGGTTCGTTACAATCTGGCTATGCTCATCACACTAACCTGCGTCGTTCTGTCTCGATGGATGCTTGTGGGGGGAGTGTCGCGGAGTGGGAGACGGGGTCGCCGGTGACTAAAGCTGAGGTCCCACTGCGACGGCGTGTCCGGGTGGAATCGTTGGACGCGGGCCTGGGTTCCGGATCGACAAGTGGAAGTGTTGGGGACTTTTGGAAAAGTTCGCGCATCTCAATGCCACTGTGGAATAAAGGGAACTCTGTGCCAAATGAGTTACCAAATAGTTTTACTTCTGTAAACGCTGGTTTAGTTATTCCACATGTGTTTACAAAGCCTATGCAACATGTCAAAACGAGAACTATTAATCCAGCCATTCAAAAAAATAAGAAAAAAGGTTTTTTTCAGACAGTTAATCATTCAAGAATAATTTGGGATCCTAAAGTAAAGCCAAGAGGTCTCTTAGGTGGTCATTTGAACGTACGAAGTATCATTTCAAAAAGTGATGAAATTCATCATCTTTTACTAGATTCTAACTTAGATTTTTTATGCTTATCTGAAACATGGCTTCATAAAAACTCACCGTCTGCAGCATTAGAAGTGCCTGGTTTTAAAATATTTAGAAAAGACAGAGTTGGTTCAAAGGGAGGTGGAGTTATGATTTATGTGAAATCTGGTATCCAGTGTAATGAAATTGTTTGGCCAAATGACACAGATCTGGAATGTATTGGTCTGAATCTTATACTATCGCCACAAATGTCTTTCACACTAATGGTAATTTATCGTCCACCATCTTCAAATGTTAGTTTTTATGAAAACCTAAAACAAGTATTAAAACAGTGTAATTTTAGTAAAGAAGTCATTATTATGGGAGATTTTAATATTAATTGGGATGATAAAATAGTTAGAAAGCATCTCAAACAAATAACTGATCATTTTGATCTTCAGCAAATGATTAATGGGCCTACAAGATTAACCAATTCTACAAGATCACAAATTGATTTAATTTTTAGTAACAGAGCAGACAGAATTTTAAAAACATTTAATATGTTAACAGGCATATCTGATCACAATTTAATTTTAGTCGCCAGAAAATTATCTAGTAAGAGATTAAATTCTTTTGTTAGGAAACATGATTCTTATGGTGTTCCAAAACATAAACTAGATGATTTTAGAAGGGCCGTCCTTCAGATTGAATGGGATGAATTACTAACTGGAACTGATCAGGATGAGGATAGTCAAATTTTCACAAAAAAACTTGAAAGAACAATGACAGATTTTAGCTGTACTTTAAAGCCTAAAAACAAAAAACATACAGTCCCCTGGATGAACTCTGATATTTTAAAAATAATAAAAAAGCGGGATCTTGCTTTAAAAATTGCACATCGATCAAAGCTGACTCATGATAGACAACATTTCACTATGTTACGAAACAAGGTGGTAAAGTGTATGAGAAAAGCAAAGGCAGATTTTTTCCTGAGAATAATTGAAGAAGCAAGAGGTAACTCCAAATTAATATGGAACCAATTGAACTACTTAAAAGGAGATAAAAGAAAAGATAGGTCATCAATTGAATTAATGGTAAATGGGGAAATGATTAATAAGCCAGCTGATATAGCTGAAGTATTTAATAATTATTTTGTGGACTCTGTAGTTTCAATCACACAGTGTTTTTCTCCCAATTATTCAGAAGTTCATCAAGTAAATACAGTAGAACAAGCTTTTTCTCTAGGGTTAGTTTCCGAATCAGACGTCAACAGAGCAATTACATCTCTTAAATCATCCAGAGCAAAAGATATATTTGGGATGGATGTGATACTTTTAAAAAACATTAGTGAGTCTTTAGTAAAGCCGATCACCAAAATTATTAATCTGTCCATTTCTCAGGGGATGTTCCCCAGTGCTTGGAAATCATCTGTCATTGTGCCTATATTTAAAAGTGGCGATCCACACTCTTCAAGTAATTACAGACCTATCAGTATTTTACCTATAGTTTCAAAGATTGCAGAAAAACTGATAGCCACACAAATTACAAATTACTTAAATAATAGTTCTTTTGCTTTACATCCATTGCAGTTTGGCTTCAGAGCAAACTACTCAAGTGAGATGGCAAATTGCTACTTTACTGAAAAAGTAAAGTCTTTATTAGATAAGGGGGGTATCGTTGGGGCTGTGTTTCTTGATTTTAGGAAGGCTTTTGATACTGTAAATCATAGAATTCTCATGTCCAAATTAGTTGGTTTTAACTTCTCACCACAAACTTTAAAATGGATAGAATCTTACTTGTCTGGTCGCACACAGTGTGTTAATATACAAAATTACAAATCTGCCCCTCTAGGTATAT